CCTCAGAAAATTAAATGCAAGTGAGCGTCCGGGAGGACCACCTAACACCAAGGAATCCCACAGGACTTTTCTCAACAGTGCAAGCAGACTTAGGGAAACACATGGCTATCTTTTATTTTGTGTTCCTCATGCTCTCCTTTCTTTCTGATCCAAGGACCAGCCTCCTCTATGAGGGCTAACCTCGCCAAGGTGCTTGTTCCTGCCCAAACAGAAACAAGTCTCAGACCTTAAATGCTGAACTAGGAATTCACCACTAACTGGGATTCTCCACCTATTAAAATAGGCTACATGGCCTCTGCCTTCCTTAAACCCCTGGTTAGGTCTACTCACATTAGACAGTGACATGTGGGCACACCTGTTCCCCACAACCTCAGGTCTTTGTTCACTTCCCTTCCAGAAAGATCTAACTCCACACAGAGAACTAGACCAGCCATCTGCCAGCTGTTAACACAGACAAAGGCCACACACAGAGAGGGCACCTTGTAGTCAGGGCAAGGACACTTAATCTGACCTGCCTTACCCACAAAGTGTACATGTACACATAACTCTTGAGAAAGTATCTTTAAGGATCTAGGGAATAGTATGTATTTTAGCGTAACTTATTCCTTAGCAGGGTGCTTCCTGCTATCTGTTACCATGGAGTTTAGCTACAAGCTGTGGAGTTGTTGTGGCTCTTTGGTCCTCAGGATCCTCTTTTGGCTCTGCTTTCTTTCTAACCTAATGACGCTCATTTAACAGGCTGGGACATAAAACAGCTCTTGATGGCAAATATATATCAGTGCTGAAGCTGTCACGTCAGTACAGATGATGTTATGTGCCATGTTCTAGAGAACAGAATGGATGTTAAAGATGTCTGACTACAAGATGAAAAGGAAGAGGACTGGCAACCAGCCTTTGTAAGAACAACTGGAATCTAAATTTTCTCTTCAAAGTGACCATCACTGAGCCCAGCATACTCACTGTATACTCATGTGTGCTTGTGCATGTGCACAAGTGTGTGTGTACACATGTACGCATGTGTGTCATATGAAGAAAGAACAATAAAATCACTGGCCCAGAGTTGCCGGTTTTATTAGTTACCAGTTTTCCATCAGATGGCACACAATGGCACTTTCTCCTGGCCACTGAGCAACAGGAACCCTGCCTCACCAGAGCACCAGTTATAGGACACCAAGCAAATGGCCCTCCTCCATTCTCTCTCTCCTGCCCTACTCTCTAACACTTTTAATCCCTGTCTCGATACACTACCATCAAAGTGACCCCCACACACTTCTCTTCCGACTCCAGAATACATGTGCCTGAATTGTATACCAAAGAAACCCTGAAATACATAGCAGAGCCACAAAACACAGGCAACAGCTAGGAAAGAGTCCCTTCCTACAAGCTGTGCTAGCTAAAGGCAACAGTGGAGCTATGACTCTGCCTTAGTATCTGCTATCTACAAACGTCCCTGGCACTTTGGTCTTGGTGGCCAGAGAAAAACTGAACACAAAACTATGAACGTTCTCGAAGGAAAACAAATGAGTTAAGTTAGCGCAATCCCGCCACCAGCATATGGTACCATCAATTGAACCACAATGACAGGTCCATGCCAGTGTTAAAAGCATTAAGTGAGGAAACTACACAAAGCATGAAGCAGAAACACAAGAAATCAACTACATCCTTACGGCCATTTCATGCTGGGTGAAAAGCCCAACAAGAGAGGACAAGAGGAAGTAGCAGAAGGAAAAGTGTGGATGGTGTGCTGCTCGTCCAAGGGGAAAGTGCAGGGTTCCTCTCCTGCTTGGCCCAGCATTTACCCAGTAAATCTCAGTCTTTGTGTTGGGGTCAAGCGGTCTCTAAGGTCTAAATCTACAAAATAGAAATACTTATAAAAACAACATAGCATCAAAGTAATTAAAGCTTCATCAACTGAACACGACTAAATACTAAACATGGTGGTGACTGAGGGCTATGCTTCAGTAAAGGAAATAATAATAAATTTGTTTCTTAACATAAATATAATAACTAATAATGATTTTCCTCAGAAAGAGCCACAGTGGAGTCAGAGACACATTAAACAGGTGAACAGAAAGAAAAACTAAAGAGGTTAAGGTGACAGTCACGCTGAGGGTGCTATGGCCCTGCTGCTAGGGGTAAATTCTACTTGACTATGCTAGACTCTTTCCACAAAAAGATTGGGGGAAAGAGGTAAGAGGCAGGCACAGATCTCTTATAAGACAGAATTATTTAATTATATTAATATTATATTATTGCCATCACATACAGTTATACTTTTGAGGAGTTTAATTTCTGCATTGTGTAGGACATTATCAATAATAACAAATGGCTAAGACATTCCAATACGTGCAGCCCAAACGGAGCTCAAAGAGCAGGCACACCCTGACTTGTCTTGGATTTACCTCCTAAATTAGCCATCCTTTCACTGTCCCCGACACCAGGCTGACAGATGTCAGTGGCACAAGACGGCCACCTCTCATGCCACACACACTTTCTGCTGCCACCAGCCAGACTTCACGCTGGAAGCAGAATCCACTGTGTCTTCCTAGAGCTGCTGAGGCCACCTGACTTATTTGAATTATGAAGCTTAATTAAGGAAGCTGACTAAATGAGCATAAAAGACATATACCGTTTCTATGAAAACTAAGCTGGTGGCGATAGGAAGGCTTTCCAGAAGCAAGTCACTAAGAAGAAAGCGGTGGGCGAGACGTGGCACAACAGCTGGGGAAATGGGAGGGAATTACAAACAGACTCTGTGCTGCAGGACGGCACTAGGCTGTGCCATTAATATGAGGTAGCATCCGAAGAGGAACCAGTGTCAGCAAGGCACTTGGACCCACAGGAGCAACATCTATTCGTGTCATAAATATCTCAGATAGGTATATTTTTAACAATCCCCTGCTTTAACGGGTATGTTCACTTATGCAGTGGTACTTACACTGGTTGGAACCATAGTGTTTTCTATGTTCCAACTCACCAACTGCTGGGTTGGGGCTCTTGAGTTTATGAGGGTCTATGAATCAGTAAGACTACTCACTTTGGACTCTAGGTATTCAAGTTCTAATCCCATACCTTTGAAAGGTAAACATACTTTAAACAAGGTCTCCCTTTTCTTCATCTTTCATAATAGAGATAAGGAGAGAGTGATGAGGAACATGGCTGTCCCTTACAGAACAAAGGAGCTCCAAGACAGCCTATTACCTAAGCCCCAGGACTCTCCTCTGGACAACATGATTAACAACATATCATCTCCCTCATGGGCATTAAGAGTTAGAAATAAAATTGTCCTATCAAAAGTCTAGCACCAAGCTTGATCCACAAGTGATGAAAACTATTCATGCCAAATATTATTATTACATTGCCTGGTGAGTGAAAAATACTTGTGCACAAATAAGATAAAGTATGCTCACTTAGGTGTTAGACTCAAAGTCCGTGTTGATGACAGGTGAAACAAGATGGCTTCTCAGAGATGTGAGCAGCTCATAACACCTTAGAAAAATTTCGAGGCATTATAGAGCAGGTGTTCTTGGTTAGAGGCAATTTACCCCCCCCCCCAAAAAAAAACATTTGGCAATACTGAATTTACTTTCATCTGTGTTCACTGGTAGAGAGGGGGGACAGAGAAAACCTATTAGTGTCTAGGAAGTAGTAGCCAAGGATGCCAATCTTACAGGGATATAGGACAGTGTCAACCTTTACAAAGACCCGTCAGCCCCAAAACGCAAAGTGGGTGAGTCTGAGAAACCCTCCGCCCTAACATGCAAAGGAAAAACCATTTCTAAAACCCAACTCAAGAAAATAACTTTGAAAGTAAAATAGGTCTTTCCATTATATTGATTCCAGAAGCTGTGCTATAGATACTCAGGAATAAGAGAGATGGGTGTTTAGTCATTGATAAGCCACAATTCTTTTATCAGTAAACCTTTAGTAGTGTCTATCCTACAATAATCTTAACAACATTGAGTCTAGAGTGAGCATGTCATGGGAGAATTCTGCACCTGAGACTAAATTTCACTTGGGAGAATGAATCTCAGTAACATTTCAAACCCTGCAACTGTAGCTGGCAATCACAACCTCCTGGAGAAGGGGAAAAGCAGAAATCCCCAGCACAGGCCTGTTCACCCAGTTACAGGAACTGCTAACTACCCAGGGACCTCAGTGTACAGTGACCATCATGCTTCTAGTCTGGGTGCCTGGATGACAAATGTAGTCCTCAATTTTAATGCTGTTAAAAAAAAAAAAAAGAAAAAAGAAAAGACTAGAAAACTGATACAGAGTCCATTTATACTAATTATTCTGCCTTTCAAAGTACAAAATAGGACTATACGATCTCAGATGTACAAGCACACACACACACACATACACACACACAGACACAGACTCACACTTTTAGCTGCCACCTCCAAGAAGACTAGAAAAGAAACCACCAATACATTAAGGGTTAAGGGCACATTTCTGCCCTTAGTCCTTTTCTACTCAAATTGAAGGCCTACACTCAAGTCTTGCCTGAGACTCACTGGTTCTGAGACTTTACCAGAGGTCCTGTGAAAGGGACAGAAACATATTACAACTTTGATAAAAAGAAAAAAACAAAAAAGACTCAGGAGGTAACGAGAAACGCTAAATAACGGAGGAGAGCATTAAAACTGTTGTATAATTTTTTTAAAACAAGCTATATCTAATACTTTACATATATATCCCTAAAGATGACATAGCAAGTCAACAAAACAATATAATTCCACTAAATCAAATAGGTTTTAACGTAAAAAGATGCTCTAGTATTTAATTTATAAGACATTTCAATATCCAAAAGGCTAAAGAACTACCCTCAAAAAAACAAAGAACTAAATCACAACAAGAAGCTTATTGAAACATTTTAGCTATGAAGACAAAGAATCCGTGCACATCTCAAGTCACACTGCTAAAACAGTCAGTATACGTACTCGGTCATTTTTTTCCTACGAGTAGAGCAGAATAAAAAAAATTAAACATTTACTCACCCTTCTGGTAGAAGAATTTCCTATAGTAGTATGCGCCAAGGTCCACGTGTTCCACAGTGTACCTTTTCACCCTGTCTAGGCGCAACATCAAGCTTTCCTTGGGCACTTCGAGAACCGCCACTCCTGCATTCGCACAGTGAGAGCTGAGGGCGGACTCAAAGGAGGCACTTTCACACCCACTGAAGGAGCCAGGGTTTGACTTGCACAGGCTGATCCTCCTCTCGCCTTCTCCACCAATCTCATTCCGAAAATACGGACAGCTCATGACCAGTTCGTTGCTTTTGTCATCTCCGTGGTCCATGCCAAGGCTCCCTTTGGAATTCAGGTCCTCTGTGCTGCCCATGGGCGAGCTGAAGCTGGCTGAGTGGGACAAGGGTCCGGAGACTAAGGAAGCCACAGCAGCCGCGGAAGCTCCCGTGGTGGTGTTTCTCCTCTTAATCACATTGTGCCTGTTCACAATGGCTTCATTCAAGTCAAACAATATGCTCTGGACATCATAGTGGGCAAAGCACTTTGGACACGTCCAGGGCCTCACAGAGTCTTCTGATCTATTGTCTTCAAGGTCTGACGACTTCCCAAGTTCTTCACCTTTGGCATTTCGTAATTTACGAAAAATAGAGGAGTCTCCAGTTTCAGACTTAGAGCGTCGCTTGAGTGGTTTTTCCCTTTCCTTGAAAAGCCTGAGGTTCTCTCTCTGTGAGATGGGCCCATCGATCACATCCAAGGAGAAACCAGAACCCTTGCCCCCACCGGTGATGAGGAAGTCACTGAGTTTGGTTGGAGTTGGACCTCGGTCAGATCTGTCATCTTTGTAGCCCTTTAATAAATCGAAGAAGCTTTCTCCGGATGTTCCCTGCTTGTCAATTGAAGATGTGCTACCGTATTCCCTGTGCAATGACGGCCCCGACTTGTAGGTAGGGGAGATACATTCATCAAAGCTATCCACATCAAGCTCACTTATGGTGATATCACTGTTGCTGCGCTGCCGGATTCTGCGAAGGGCTTTCCTGGGGGAACTGGGGTAGGCTTCGGGCATGAGGAATCTGGAGTCCATGTTCTCCGCTGGCCCCGTCTTGTTCTTCAGGGTGTTCTGTATGCTCTTCAGCATTGCTGAGTCATTGGAATTGAGGCTAACAGAACTCCCCTGACTCACAGGACTGCCTTTGGAAGACAGGCTCTCAAGGCAACTTGAGGTTTCTATTTCCTGGCTTGAACGGCTGGATTCTTTGACATTTTCCTTTCTTGGAGGCCAATCTGCAATTCTTGCCCTAACCCCCATCTTGGGGACCCCGGGGGTAGAGGTTATATGGTGAGGACCTTCACTTCTAGGGGGCCCTACTGCAGCCATGACTGAGGATCCTAAGCTGCCATTTTGGGACCGGAAGCGACGCATGTAGAAGTCATCAGTGTGAACTTTGGGGGTGCCGTCTGCGCTGACAACAGAGGCTCTGTCAGTAGTGACAGGCCTTTCCGTCTGCGACCGCTTCAAGCTGGTCATGATGTAGAAAGTAGTCACTTAAATCCCTGAAGAAAGGCCCACCATGTCTGTGTTTGCAAGTGTACTTCACTTCAGAGGATGGCTTCCAGGAAATACAGCAGTCGCGTCAAGATCTTAAGCCTTTTCATTTAAAAGGTTAAATGATGCCTTGTTTTCAGAACACTGAGAATCCAGATCTTCCAAACATTGTAATCCACAATAGTTCCTGTGCTTCCCTCAAACAGAAGGCTTTCTTCAGAGAAGACTGAAGAGAACTTGCATCACCGGGACTCTGTGGTCGCCATCATCCTGTGCTCCCTCTAAAGTGAGAAAGACAATCTGAATTAGCATCTGACAAATGCATTTAAAATAAATATGCGACTGCTAGAATCAGACACTCAGACAGGAGACTCAATACTGGAGTGTAGTGAACAGTTCCAAAATTTACATTCTTAATAAAGCAGATATGAAAGAAAAAAGTAAAAACAGTTTTTTAAAACCCATCAATTACACTGAAAGAAGGGCCATGAACTGCTGAACTGCTTCATAAAACTGGGAGGGGTACCAGCTTGTCCTAGGGCATCCAGGCTCCTAACTGCATGCAGACTTTTGCTTCCATGACCTCTAATAATGTAGCCATCATGACACTGTGCTGACCAGAAGTTTGAGACAAAACCAACCTAACCAGATAATCAGAGCAATGCAAGGCAGCCTTCTGAGAATGCTAAAAATTCAACATGTTTTTTATTGATTTTGCTACAACTTACTTTTTAAATGCCTTTCATATTTCAAATAGATACTTATTTCTCTGCAAAAGCTTACCACAGTTGGCAAGAGCAAATCTACCAACAGCATAGAGAAAATGAGCGGCGTTTCCTGGAGCCATCATACCCACCAACATGCTTCAGTATTTTCCTCCACTTTCTTACTTACCCACATGAAGAACATTGCAGAAGGAGCCCGGCATTCACTCCACCTTTTCCCAAGCTCTCCTTACTTTCATCTACTCTCAGAGCTTGAAGTCTTTCGCTAATTCACAAAATGCCTGCATTTCCTTAAGCAGCGCAGCCTCCTCCACCCCATCAGTGCTAATTTATGACGACGACAGAAACAAAACGCTGCTCTGGGCAGACCGCTCCATGTCCTCCACCAGATTACAGAGAACTGTTACCATCCTTCCAGGTGACAGGCAGGAAGATGAACTTCCTCATGAGCTTGTCAGGCAGGAGACAGCAGGCACACAGTCTGAGCACAGAAGCCTGCTTGGGTGCGTACATCCTGAAGAGAGGCAGAGAATCCTTTTCCAGCATTCCGCAAATTACACAAGAGGTGGCCTTTAAATTCTTGCCAGATACATGTTTGGAAAGATGCTGCTGAACCAGCACCGAGCTGACAGGGCGGCATTGTCTACAAATCACGCTCTGACACTGAGGAGGACCGCACACTGCATGCTGCACTCACTGGTAACAAGCACTTACTTCCACAATAATTAAGCATCTCGCTAGTCAGCTTCCTGCCTCCAAGGCAGCGGCTTTCATTCCTCCAGCAGCACGCAGAATCAGTTTAGGAGACTCGTTGCTATTTAAAGCTGGAACATTTAGGGGTGTTTCAAAAATGCTCCCTCCCTGCAGACTGCCCGGCTCTTGCAGGGTAGGTCTGGTTAGCGGGTCAGATAAATGCCCATTGTTTTCATTCACACTCCTCTGCCCATGTTTTGTAAAAAGGGATAATGGTTTTGCACTGCCATCTAATTAAACCTGGCTTTTAGGCTTTCTAGATACTTCTAGAGACAGACCATTATGATTCCCTTTACATCCCAGAACTTTACATGCTGCTCTTTCAATTGCTAGCCTTTAAGTAGAACAACGTGCTAACTGTTGCTTACAGCAGCAGCCAGGGCGGGCACGTGCAACCACAGCTGTGGTTCAAGAAGTACTGCTTCTAAAATGGAAGGGCAACCAATCAACACTGCGAACACCTGCCCAGCTTAAAACAACAAAGAAGGAATTCAACAAAGTACCTCTCAAGGAAATAATATACTAGCACAAAGTAATTCTTAAAAGTCAGGTGTTTTCAGTATTCTCACACAAAAACTCAAATAAACCATCTTCCATTCCATTTCTACAACATCCATCCTCCCTCCCCCAACACCCATCTCACCAAGATCAAAGCTCATGCTTGCCATATTTCAGTTCTTAGAAAATGACTTACCACTGAACCGACCCCTCCCAACCTGTTTTTTTGAGACAGGGTCTCTGTAGTCCTGGCAGACCTTGAACTCACCAGGCCCTTCCTGCCTCAGCTTTTCAGGTGCTTAGATTACAGGCATACACCACCAAACCCTGCTTGCAAGGCTGACTTTTTAAAAGCAGGCGACGACACAGTCATTATAGGAATAAACGGAAAGCTGGAACTGAGGCACAATAAATAAAACCTACCTGGGAATGTCCAAACTCCACCACCAATAGTTTCTTTCCTATATCACTTCCCTTCTTACTTTTTAAAGATTTGTTATTTGTGCAAAATGAATGCTTTGCTTGTGTATATATGTGTACTTCATGACCCCAGGGAGGCATCACATTTCTTGGAACTAGAGTTACAGAGAGACGTGAACTTTCACATGGGTGCTTGAATCAAACCCAGGTCATCCTTTGCAAGAACTGAAATTATTCTTAACTACTAAGCCATCTCTCCAGTCCCACTAGCTAAGGTTAATACACCTTTAATATGAAAATTTCTTAACAATTCAATTTTATTATGATTACTTTTTATTTCAAAATATAGATGAACACATGGAGGAGAGCATGGTTTGATAACCCATCAAACTGAAGAGGTGAGCAACTAAGTTATAAAACAAAATTTCTCATTATGAAAATCCCAACCCCCCACCTCCACCCACTTTCCTGCCCCTTCTCCCTTTCCCTTCCTTATTTATTTGCAACATTAACTTCCTCTGAGATAGGATATAAATTTTAGCTGTAGGTGAGCCATATGGAAATAAAGATAGCTGTTAAGCCACCAGCTGAAAATCAGGATGTCTGTCCATACAGATCAGTAACACTGCACCCTACTCAAGAGTAGAGTGAAATAGCAAACATGCTGAACAAGCCAAACAAACATCAACAGAGCTGCCCAGACACTGTTAGAGACAGTGAGAAACAAGAGAATTAAACAGAGGAGCAGTATGACTTCATAGCACATCACCTGTGTCATAAAACATTCCCTATCACACTTAATTTCATAGCTCTCCATACTGTGAACTTCTGGTGAATCCACCTAGTGAGATTGCCAACCCCACGAGGAACTTCAGCCGGTCCAGATCAGCTCCACATTGGGAAGTCTTTTCGTCTCCTGGGACCTATAGTTAGGGCCCTCTGCTGATCAACACTGCTCTTCCAAAAGAGAAGTTCCACTGTATCTAAACAATCCCCAGCATGCCCACACTCTCTTCTAAGCATGGCTGCACAGCTGGTACTGGGAATACTTGAGGAAATGATCCTTCAAGTCAAGTCTAGTTCTACATGAGGAAGGCAGATGGTGAAAACATGAAGATACAGGTCATGACAAGTTACACATACACCATGTCTCCTTCCTGTCCTTTCCATTCTAACTCCAAGGTTCACCTAACAAACTGTTTGCTTCTGGGTCTTAACTGAACCACAGCAAGTCAGCCATTCAGAATATTAAGTCCCTGGTAGTGCTGAAAGTGGTCACTTGGTTCCTCCGGCTGCCCTGGTTCCTCCGGCATTTGCACTTTGAGCTTTCTCCTCTCCCTTGACCTCAGTGACAACCACCTGCTCTTGCCTCTCTTTTTGCCCACCATTCTCTATCATTTTTTTTTCTTTTGCCTGTGCATGCATGTGGTGTGGTACATATTCATGTGAGTGGACACACATGCACATGTGTGCCTATGAGGCCAGGGGTTGATACTGAGTCCTCCGCAGTTGCTTTCCACATTAGTCTCTGAGACAGGGTCTCTCAATTGAACCAGAGCTTGCCTGTGTGACTGATTTATGCTAACTTGGAATCTGGTTCTACTTTCTACATGCTGGAACTGTCAGGGGGCTGCCATGCTCACTGGGCTCAAGTCTTCAGACTTGTGAGGCAGGCACCTTATCCACTGAAACCACCTCGCCTGCTGCCTAGTCATCCTTTAGAAGAACCCAGGGCAGTGTCCCTGATTTACTTTTCTTACCACTGTCACACCGCTGGAGGAGGCTGCAAGGGTGTTACTAGCAGGCACAGGTGCAGGAGACAGGCTCCAGGACTGGAGAATGCAGGCGTTGGGCTGGCTGGCTCTTGCTGTGTAGGCAGTCTGTACCATAACAAACACTTGGGCAATACCGTAACAGACAGGGTGTGTGGCTGACCTGGGCTTTATCCACCTCTCTGTGTTGTTAGCTCTAAATTTCTGGCCATGGCTTTGCTTTCACCTATCTATAATTTCTAAGATAACGACTACCAAGCAGACAGGTGAGCGAGTGGTAAAGAAGGACAACATAGAACTCAAGGAACGAAATGAAAAGAACATCATGGGATGTTCCCTGCACCTAGGGCACGGAGACACATGAAAGAAAGGGTCCATGAGAAAATGTAGAGTGGAGAGTGTGAGAAATGACATGATGTGGGCGGGGACAGCCCTTACATACCAGGGCAGGTACTCAGCACCAAATTCAAGTTTTTCTAAATTGTGCTCAAATCCAGTTATTTATGCACAGAAGAGTTCCATAACCACATAAGATAGGGACGTACTAAGACCTCTCTTAGGAGGTCATAACCCACGATCCTTCGTGAAACCTGCAGATTTATAGACTAAAACCACCACCACTGGCTTTATCTGAACCAACAGATTTTACTTACTTACTTTTTTCTTTTCTTTTTTTTTAAAGACAGGGTCTCATATAGCTTAGCCTGGCTGAGGCTAGACTTGAACTCATGATTCCCCTTCCTCTGCTCCCACATGCTGGAATTAGAGGCATTCTTAACTTAATCCCAGACTCATCTTTCCATTGTATGTCCTATACAACATAATGAAGCACAAAACAGGCCCATGTTTCAGAAGAATGCAGGATGAGGAAACTGTACATGCTTTACACTTTTAGCCATGCTTTACCCTCACTGACATGCACACATGCACGAATGTGTGCACACGCGCACGCGCGCGCACGCACACACACACACACACACACACACACACACACACACACACGGAGGGAGGAAGGGAGAGGGAGGGAGGGAGACTCACCAGGGGATTTATGTTTGTCTTTGGATAGACTGTAACTTGAAGCTAATTTTTTTTTTTAAATGAGCAAGTGTTACT